TCAAAAGAGCAAAACTGCTACCAAAGAGAGCGTTATTTCCAGAAACGCTCCGCGCCCCAGGGCAGGATAGGGCGGTCGCCATCTCCCGCGTCCACATCCACGCAAACAGCCATTTGGAAAAGTAGTCGCACTCGTTAGAAACACAGCCTTTGTTAAATGCGCCCAAGTCAGTGCCGGACACGGATACGTCCACGATTTAAAGAAGAGAAAAACAAAATCTGCTTCTAGTTGGTTTTTATTGGAATTTCTAGTATTTTTATCATTGAGATTCATTGGAGGGGAAGCGTTAAATTCCTGCTTCAGGTGTTCTCAGTAGCGGGATGGAGATGGAAGTGTTCTCTGGGACAGGATTGGCACCTGGCCCTTTACCGGGAGTGGTGCTGGTCTCCTCTCTGGGCTCAGGTAGTTGGCTTCATCTGGCAGGAAAAAAGACAGCTTCTTCTGATCTGTCAGATCCTCTAAGACCACCGGCCTCCTTAGGACGTGACTTAATTTTTGCCACAAAGATACATATTTAGACCGTGAAAGATAAAAGCACTTCTTAATTACTGATATGTGTGATCGCCATATGTCAGAATTATCTCATGACTCCCAGGACAAACGCCAGGTGAGTCTCGGTCCCAGGTCGCCTTGCCAGTGCTCAGCATGGCACCTGGTTTATGGTCAGTGCCTAGTACGTGTTCGCTGAGTGGATAATTGTTTTAATCTAGTGTTAGTCGCCCTGGCCGTCATGACATCAAAAAGATCTCTGGCCACGCATAATAGCTATCTGTCAGATTTCTGGATTTTTGACTGTAAAAGTTTGGGATCATTTTGCAAACTTTTGGAAAACCAGTTCTCGATTGCAAATCGAGAAGGGAAGACGGCTATAGCTCATCATGCTTAGAGTTACCTGACCGTAAGAAGAAAGATGGCCGCTTTTCTTCTGGTTGCCAGTTTCCGTGGCAGAAATTTCACGATGTCTAAAATTTTGTTTAAATTGGCAAAAACCGTTGAACATATATGTAATGTAACATGTAAAGAACCATTATGTTTTCAGAACTTAAAAGGTTTGGGGTTTGGAAGAGAACAGAAGAGAAAAGAAGAAATGATGGTATCTATGCATTTCTGCACCAAAAATACTTTACTCGCCTTAAGCACTAAACAAGTGCACCGCGTTATTGCACAATCTCTCACAAGCCAGTACTTCTCCCTCCGTCAAGATCCAGAGCATTCTTTTTCACCTGCTGTCTGGAGGGGTGCACCGTGTTATTGCACAATCTCTCACAAGCCAGTACTTCTACCTCTGTCAAGATCCAGAGCATTCTTTTTCACCTGCTGTCTGGGGGTACGTAACTGCTTTGATGCTCCTTGCTGGATATTTAGGGAGGCTTCTCACAGTGAGAACACAGTATTCCCAGCCCCCACCCCGGCTGCCCTTGTTCCTGCAAATGTCTTGTCTTCAAGCTTTACATCCCGTCCCTCGCTCTGAGTCCTGGTAAATCCTCTTTAATTCTTTAATTCATAAGAGCTCTTGGCTCTCAAAAGGACATGTCTTGTTCTTTCTGTGTATACAACAATGGTAGATTTTTTAAAAAGCTTTACATTTTAATGCAAATATGTGAATGACAAATATCTTGAAGGAGCCGTGATGGATTATGTTCAAGTCTGTATGTGCAAAGGACACCGTTTTTCCATTTCGGTGTGTGCTGCGTGTTCTGTAATTTCTTGAAGCTCACCGAAAATGTTTCTGCACGCTTTCGTGATTGCGCTCATGCTTATTCTGCTTCGTCGCTGTGCCTCTTGTGTGTCGATTAAACAGGGCTGTGAGTCTTCTCAATGCAGGCACACCGAATACACCGGCGCCCAGGTGAGCGGGACTTAGGTTTCCTCGCTCACCCTCGCCGCCTCCCCAGCCGCTGCACCCCTTTTTAACAAGTAGCTTCGAGATCTCATCCACTGTTCCCCATCCATCAAGTCTCGGGTCATGTAACTGTATTAATTATTGATGTGGGCTGGATTTTTAGAGGTTCCGCAGGTCCTCAAGACCAGGCCTCACGGTTCCGTACGTCACAGGTGGTGTAACTCAGGCGCAGTGCAGAGAGCAAGGGTGCAGCGAGCAGCTTCATTCCTGGATTCGTTTCCTCGTCTGTAAGATGGGGTGATGAAATTTCCGCCGCGGCTTCGCGAGGCTTAAATGAAATGACGTGTAAAGTCTTTAATATACAGTAACTGTTGCCACCGCTGCGGTTTCCATCATAATGTCCCCTGCGAACTCCTCCAGCCACCAGGTCAAGCGCTAATTATCAGGAAGTTGGTTAATATTTGCCATAACTGATTAATAGTCACGGTGTTTCAGCTCTTTAAGGGTGTTTTGTACAAGCCTTTAAATTGCCATGAACTCGCCGTGAACTCCCACAAGGACACCGTGGAGGCGGCGCTGGCCCAGGGCTGCCAGCTGCCAGGTCTGTGAGCCTAAGAGCCTCACGCTAGATGCCTGGCAGAGAATGACCCACCGAGTGAAATTAGCTTGGTGGTTTCCGTCCCTGGAAGATCGTGAACTTGAAGCACAAAGGTTTCTATAATTTTTAGACTTCGATGCCAAATTTCAGAAATGTAATGCTCTCTTGACATCTATAATTTCTTTTTCCCCAAATTGAGCATTCTAAAAATTCACATTTTGTCCTTAAGGCACGCCCATGCAGATCCCAGCTGGAAGATTCTGGTGCTGTAAATTCAGAGCTTCCTAAGCTACCAGAAGGACTATGCAGAAAGTGTATTCAAACCCCGACAATTTCGGTCATTTTATTTATGTTTGCTCAGAGAGCGAGCGGTTTTTCAAAAGCACGTACCCGGGCGCGGTTTTTAAAAACGTGCCGGAGGATTGGGACTTACAAGGGAAGAAGGACCGAAGCTGGCCGGGAGGAAGGCAGAGGCCAGCAGGAAACGGGAGTGAAAGGCGGAGGGTGAATGGCCGTCCAGGAGGAGACAAACGCCAGCCCAGCAGCGTGTCCTGCTGTCTCATGTCCCTAGGCTCCTGTGGTCTCCTGATTGAAATCTGGTCTCGTCTCCATCCTCCCCTGGAGCCGTGTGCACTGAAGCCACCCAGACTCCCCCGCCTGGTGGCACCCAGCACCCTAGCCAGGCCTGCCGCATTTTCCGTCTCTGACACCCTCCCCGCCGCACCCGCACCCCCCGTCTCTTCCTTCTGCCCCGTCTCTCCGGTTTTCTGAGCTCCCTCAGGCTCCCACAGTAATTTCTCAACCCACATCGTAAAAATTTACTGCTGCCCTGTGGGTTTTTCTCATTCTTGGCTCCTTCCTCGTGCAGCGACTTCCTCCACACCTGTGGTTCAGTGACCACCAGCTGCACAGTTCCTGTCCCAAGCCGCCACCAAGATTGCACCTACCACACGTCCGCGTGTATCCAGGCCAGGCCCACCTGGGTCTGCCTTGTCCCTCAGCCCCTGCCCTGGGCTGGCACCACTGTCCACCCCTCTCCCTCCCTCCCTCCCTCCCTCCCTTCCTTCCTTCCTTCCTTCCTTCCTTCCTTCCTTCCTCTCTTCCAGAGCAGGTTCTAAGTTAAAGCATCACATGTCCCTTCCTGGGACAGGCTCAAGGCATGACACTCCCACTTATTTATTCATTTATTTTATCCATTCATTAAAAAATATGTGTCCAGCTTCTACACCAGGCTCTGCAAAGTAGATAAGAATGATAAACAAGATAAGATCCCAAGAAATGAGTGACCCAGTGAGGAAGATTTCAAACCTGGCAGCAATACCTGTCATACGGTGACCTGCTCTGGGAGCAGGACCCTTGTGTTTGTTTTGGTGAACTTTGAGATTCCTTCCTTCCCTTCTCTTTCCTCCCTCCCTCCCTTCCTTCCTTCCTTCCTTCCTCTCTTCCAGAGCAGGTGCTAAGTTAAAGCATCACATGTCCCTTCCTGGGACAGGCTCAAGGCATGACACTCCCACTTATTTATTCATTTATTTTATCCATTCATTAAAAAATATGTGTCCAGCTTCTACACCAGGCTCTGCAAAGTAGATAAGAATGATAAACAAGATAAGATCCCAAGAAATGAGTGACCCAGTGAGGAAGATTTCAAACCTGGCAGCAATACCTGTCATACGGTGACCTGCTCTGGGAGCAGGACCACCAGGCTGCGCTCCTGCCCTGGCTCTGGTTCCCTTCATACCCGTGAATCGCCTGCGTGTGCCAACAGTCCTCCTCCTGGAGCTGGCGCATCCCCACTGTGCACTTAGCACACATTCAGGCCACTCATTTGCTCTCTCCCGGGAATTCGCAGTCTTCGGGGAGTCTTCCCCAGACACCCTTCCCCAGGCTCCCCAGCACCCTCAGGTCTTACAGCAGGAAGTGAAGTGCTTACTTGGACACCGCCTCCAAACACTGGCATCTTACCGTAGGGCAGGATGTTTCTGTCGCTGCCTGCGGCATCCTGTGTGTGTTTGTGCCACGTGTGCCTTTAGATCAGAGTTCTTCAATATCAGCGCTGTCGACGTTTGTGGCTGGGTCATTCTTTGTCCAGGACCGTCCTGGGCACCGTCAGGTGCTGAGCAGCACCCCTGGCCTCTCCCTGTTAGATGCCGGGAGCAGCCACCTCTCCCCGGTTGTGACAGCCAAGAATGTCTCCAGACCTTGCCAAATGGGCGCTGGGGGCAGCGTCGCCCCTGGTCGAGCACCACGGGTCTACACTGAAGTCTGCTCAAGGCACGGTCGCGTCCCGTGAAGCCCCTGCCGTTCTCAGAGGCCGTGTTGTTCGGGGGTCTTCCCCTTCAGTCTCCTCCATGACTTTAGACTGTACCAGTTGCCACAGTTACAAAGGCAGCGAGCAGAAAGGCGTTGAGCCCAAGTGACATTCCTTAATGGTCTCTATGTTTAGGGCTTTAGATCCCATCTGTCTTAACTATCCACATGGAAGTGCGATGTTCTGTGTATATATTTTTATACTCAAACCCCTCCATTCAGGATTTTGTTGTCATTCTATGTCACTTGTAGCACCATCAAGAGGACCAGCTCCTCGGAACGCGTGTCCCCGGGCGGCCGGCGGGAGAGCTACGGGGACTCCAAGGGGAGCCGGCACCGCACGGGGTCCACCAGCAGCTCTTCCAGCGGCAAAAAGAACAGCGAAAGGTAAGGGCGTCCACGGTCCCATTCCGTGTCACCTCCTCTCTCCAGAGCTGAGTCGGAAGGTCCCTCATACGCACACGGCCGGGAACTCGCATGGGGACCTGGGCCTCTCCTGAGGTCATGTGGGCCCTAATGAGACAGCCATCTGGGGCAGCCGCCGGTCCCGGCCCACGCCAGTTACCGTCCAGGCAGGGAATTAGAACCTGGACCCCCGGCCCCCTTATGCGGATGGTGGTTCTTGAGAATTTGCGTGGTTCCGAGGACACAGAATTAGGAAACTGACCCGGACTTCCTCAGGGAGCACTGGATATTTCTGGTACACTCTGCTGTCATTTTAAAGTTCACGTTAGTGAATCTTTTTAGACAGAGTGGGTGAAAAGTTGTACTTTTATAATTTGTTGAAACCGTTTTTAACATTGAGCTAATGCCAGAAAGAGGAACTGTTTTCTTTCTGGTTTCATGAAATACTCTTATTCCTAATTTGGAATTATTCTTTGAGCTTAGCATATAATGGATCATAATAAATACCAAGAGACCGATAGAAACATTTTGTTAGTGAAAACTAATTTGGGGTATTTTCATTGCTTGTTTTATGTTTAAGAATGTATTGAGTCTATGAGATCAGTTTCTCCATGTTGATCTATCTAACGTACCTTGTTCTGTCTTTTTAAATACTGTGCTTTAATTTTATTCTCTCTGTTGAGCAAGACTTAGGAAGGAGTTTCAGCTTCACAGGCAAAACTTTCTGTTTTTCCCAAAATGTTCACGGAGGGAGAAGGCTTAGTCATGAAGTGATCAACTCCAACCCACAGGCTGTAGAAATCCCGAGTTTATAACTCCATTCTGATTCCGCCCTGTAAGGAAAGCTTAAACTCTTTTTCGGCGTTATTCTTGAAAGATACCTTTTATAGAAAAGATGCAGGCGCTTCGCACATCTATAGCAGGTCAAGTTCATGGTTGATTAACAATCTCAAAACCACCGACATGTGTTCTGTCTTCTAATTTAGACTATTAGTGCTTCTTATCAGAAGATTATGCTAATTGAGTGATAATACCTTGGAAATAAGGCCAAGCGCTTACAATGGCCACAGAGTATGAGGCCAGGGAGAGCCGTGTGGCCTGTGGGCATCTCTGAATTCAGGGGCGGCTCAGAATTGACCTGAAATGTCTAGATCTTGGCAGCCCTTAAAAACTTGGCCCCTCCTCCGCACATCTGAGTTTTATTAAGAATTTCCAAGAGGAACCTGCATTGTGCAAACTCCAGATCTGTTTTATCTTTTAAATCCCGTGGCTTTGGTAAATGGGCTGGGTTAATATTTCCATGAAAGATGTTTACAAAGGGTTTTCGTTTTTAAATGCCACAGTAGGAAATTTCGATTTCAAAATGAGAGACTGGGAAAACTTACTAATCGTTTTCTAAAAATAAGTCAAGCAACCAAGCATGTCCATTTTCAAATAAATTCTTTGTCTCGTTCGAACCAGGAGTAGTCGAGGCCAGCACAGCGCTGAGCCGGCGGAGCTGCAGGCACCTGAGCTTGCTCGGAGGGAAAGCTCCTGCCTTCCCTTGGGGAATGGGCGGTACCGACAGGTGCTCCCGGGAGCCCGTGGGAGTGCTAGCGGCAGTGACCCAGGAAGCAGCCGCAGCTGAGAAGCAGTAAAGAGTTGGTCATTCAGTCGCCGCCTGACCCCTTCCCTTCATTGTTCTCTCCATTCCCACGTGAGCAGCCCGCTCTTGGCCGCTGTGACCCCGCGCCACCGCAGAGCGGGAGTCTGAGTGACCCGTGGCCAGTCTCCGAGCTGCAGCGTGGGCACAGGGAGGGGTAGGGAGAGGCCCGGACGCAGTCCCTCTCTTTGACATTACGGTGCTCGGTGGTCTCCTCCCCGTCACTCACTATTTTTTGACAGTGGGTCCAGGATGCTTCGTACATTCGAAAAGATTATCCTCGTTAGGTTACTGTCGGCAGCAAGACGTCGCAGAACGGGCACAGGCTCTGGAGTAGGAGAAAGATCTGGGTTTGTAAACCAGGTCTGCCACCTAACTCCTCCGAGCCTCGGTGTTTTCCTCTGTGAATTAGGGATTATGCCCAGTTCCCTTGACTCTCAGAAATGAGCCGACCAGTAGGGAGACACCGGCGCCGTGCCTGGTCCTCGGTGGCATCGTCGTCGTGGCCGCTGTTACAGAGCGAGATCTGTGCAGAGCCGCGGCTTTCCAGAATCCTGAGCTTTATTTCTCTCGTTGGTAAGGTGAGGCTGCTGGGGACACCTGAGCTCATTAGTCTTTTTTCTGGCCTGACACACGTTAAACTACATCCAGGTAAAGGACACACCGTCCTGGGAGCTCAACCCGGATTTTGGCAAATCTAAAAAGTGGTCGGGTGAAAACAGAGCGTCATAAATCTTCACGGTTCCCACAGTTGTGAATGTCACATCAGAATGAGCTGGTCTGATTTCAGGGAAATAAGTCAGACAGAGAAAGACAAATTCCGTATGATTTCACTTAGATGTGGAATCTTAAAAAACCAAAACAAATGAATAAGCAAAACAAAACAGAAACAGATCCATAGATACAGAGAACAAGCTGATGGCTGCCAAAGGGGAGAGGGATGGGAAGATGGATGAAATAAAAAAGAAAAGAAAATTTAAAAAAAGTACCTTGACACTGGGCTTAGGGTGTCAGTCCTGAAAGCCAGACTTTGAAAAAACAAAACAAAACAAGTTACATACAAAGACTCAAAACAGGATCCCTTCACCCTGCCCATCGGCACCGGGACAGCATGTTTTCAAAAGAAC